AATGTTTTGAAAACCGGACCGGACAGGCCGGTTGAACCGCTTGGACCAGGAATCGACCTTCATTCCGGTCTGGTTTGACCCATCAAACCGCCCAACGATTGAAACAGTCAAAAACCGTTCGAACCGATCCAAAAATGGCTGAATCGGTGCACCGGAACCAGTTCGAATGGTTCAAACGATTCAAGTTTTTGAACTTGAAATTGGTAGATTGTGAAGCGATTTAAATATCACACCTTTTTACTTGTGTTACCAATGTGGGATATGTTCCTTTGCTAAAATTATCGGGCTAATATTGGGACTTATAAAAATATTGTACTCGTTAAAAAGGTAGTATATTTTAAATTGGACCATCTATTGGGCTATACTCCCAATTTATTAGAAAACAAATAAGTAAATTATTGTTATTTGTTGTGTACATTATTTTTATTTTTTTTATTTTTCAATCAATAATAAAAAATTTAAAATAAAATTAGGGTTGTTTCTATTCTCTCTATTTTGTAACATAAATATGGATCAAAATTTCAAATATAAGAAAAAAATAAAAAAAATGTTATAAACATTAATCAATATTGTTGGTTGCATCTATTATTGAGTTATTATTTAGAGAAATATCATACATTACAAAATTATTAAAATTAATGATAAAAAAATATTTAATTATATATTATACATATAAAATTAAAAAATTATATATTGATTAAACGGGTTCGACCATTGGTCCGACCAGTGAACTATTGAACCAGTAGTTACAACCGATTCGATGACCAGTTCGGTTTTCAGAACCATGCTTAATATATACAAAAAACTAAACGAGAACTCATGTAAATATGTATCCTTTTTTTATGAAACGATAGAATATATAACAACAAATAAATAGAGTACACAAACACAAATCAAAATATCCAAAAGCAGGGAAAGATGTACGCTAACAATAACGACCTAAGAATGAAAAAAGAACCTAAACTAAGAATGAGGACCATGGTCTAGAAAACCGGAGCGGACCGGCCGGTTGAACCGAGAACTGGCCAGTTCACCGGTCCGGTCTCTGGAAATAACCGGCTGTCAGTAAAACCGGTTAATGGCCGATTCAACCGGTCAAAACCGGATATAAACTGGTTGGTTCAACCGGTCAGTATTTCTTTTTACCTATGTAAATAATTTCTAACACATTTATAAACCAGCTCTTCTGTTACGTAAACCGATGTGCGACAAAACTAGTACCAATGATTATTTTAATTGGTCCACTTATACAAATAACTTCTTATCCAATTCATGCATTGGGGATACTAGTATGATTCAAATTTATAATCTTTAAACATTATTCCTAAGTGGATTACCATTACAAGCATTGATTGACATACTTCAAAATCTATTATCTTTCAAAACCATAGCATTAACTCTGTTCTAAGTGTTGGAAATTAAGTATTAATTCCTTATATTTTATTTATTTTGAGCCATTAGATTGTCTTTTAATTTTTCTATAATTAAAGGCTATAAGATAGCTGTTGGGATTGCTGCAAGTTAAAACTTAAATCACACATCCCCGTACCCGTATTAGAATGGGAGTTTCGTCCCAAATTTATTTACCCACCAATTAACCATAAAAATTACATGACACGCTTTCAGTTTTCCACCCACCGCTCAAATCACTTGTCCCACGCACGTTCTCTCTACGCACGCACCGCCTTCTGTTCAGTATTTCACTTGAAACAAAACTGTGTCTCACTCTCACACGCCCCTTCCCCAATTTCTCATCCATTATTAATAACTAAATCTCAATCCCCCTACACATCTGCAACTCCTCCAAGTTCACCGACCCACTACAGATCTCAACAATGGCCTCCGCAATCCCTACTCTCTCAGCAGCTCTCCTCTTCGCTCTCTTCCTCCTCGCGCCGCAACCGCTCTCCGCCAATCCGCCGGAATCTTCTCCATCCCCGTCCCCCCAGCCCCCTCAGGCATCCATCTCGGCTTCGCCGTCCGCTCCGTCGCCTTCCCCTGCACGCTACGATTCTCCGCCGGCGCCTCCGCCGTCAGATCTAGCCCCTACCCCAACTTCCCCTGCACCATCCCCGCGAGAAGGGGGCTCCCCGAAGAGAGAATCGCCTTCGCCTGCTCCTGTCGTCTCCGGCAACGTCAGGCACGAGGGTCAGTCGACCGCCGCTGATCAGGAGACGAAGGACGAGGGCTCGTCCCGGGGCATGAGCGGAGGAGGAAAGGCCGGCGTCGCCATCGGAGTTATAGCCGCAGTGTGCATTGTGGTGATTGGTGCGGTAGTTTATAGGAAGCGACAGCAGAATATCCGCCGCTCGGAGTACGGTTATGCCCCCAGGAGAGAGGTAGAGTTACTGTAGCCTGTAGGTGCAAGTATACCACACGAATCACTGTTTTTGCTTCATATCTTGGCGGTGCTGTTGTGATGCGATACCGATTTCTAGAATTTATTGCTATTCGATTGCTAGATTGGGTAGATGTTTGTGTTGATTTGTTCGATTCGTTACTGCTTCTCAATAATATTACTACTATTTTTTCTTCATTTTTTTCTTGGGTTGATTGTGGTGGCAACAGATCATACTTTTACAGTTTTACTTCCTTAGATTTTTGGTTGAGTAAATGATCTATTATGCATTGAATTGGTTGAGACTTTTTGGATTTCATTTGCTTGAATTTTATGGTTGGGTAGGAATTTATTATTATTTCCTTAATGGTCAATTTGCATTCTTTATGTTTATGGATTTTGGCCAATTTGGCATTTGAAAGTGGATGTTTGACAAAAGTGGTTATTTTGTTAGGCACGAATATTAGAATGATAATTATATATTCAGAAATATATACATCTCCACTAATCGCCTTCTTTCTCGCCGGTTGAACGTCGTGTACCTACAAAGAACTCTCACACAGGAGGGGTTTTCCGGTGAAGAGCCTCCGATGCTTAAGTCAGTGTGTATTCAATCAATTCTCAAGAGTAATAGAATGATCGTGTTGAAGAAGAAAGGCTCACCCCCTTTATATAGAGGTGAGATACCTGACCTAGGGCTGCCCAGATCTGATGAGCTGTCTGCCCTCACTGCCCGTCCGTACGCACCAAACGCGTGTGTCAGAGGTAACCGTCGCCACTATCGCCTGCACCAATCCCCTTTGGACGCGTGTCCTCCTGCACATGGGATATGCTGTCAGAGGCGGTTATTGCTATCCACCACTGCTTTCTCGACACGTGTCCCCCTGCACATGGGGTAAATATTTTCCTGGAATTCTGTCAGAGGCTTCCTTCACGCGGCTGTGACTAGGCCGAACAGCGTGGTGTTAAGTCCTCGAAGTAATCGACCTGATGAGGTCGAATAAATTGCTCGGTCGCGTATCTGGTCGAAGGATAGTTCAGTCGACAACCTTACTTGGTCGACTGATTAATTGCTCGATTCCTTTGGCTTCCTCATTATCTGACCTCCTCGACCAGTCAACAAACCGGTTTAGCCTTATGGGTATAATATCCTATATCATATAGTAATATAAAGAGGTTGTTGGAAAAATACAAAAATAGTAAAGTTGACTACAAAAAATAAACTTTTGACATGCTACTTAAAGTAATATTTACTAATTCAAGAAATACAAATGCTGGTCACACACTTAAATTAATAATCAGAAATTAAGGAATAACATATATCCAAACGGATTGCTTTACAAAATAATTTCCGATTTCATTAACCAAAATAACCAGATTTTCTGCGCATAATCCATGCAAAATCTATGCAAATATTAATCGAAATTTTGTTCGCTTAAAATTCACCGATGTAAGCGGATTTTTTTCGACGATAATTGATGATTATTCCTCACTAAATTGATCGAATTTGTAGGAATTTATTGTTGCAAGAATCTCTACAAATTGCTTCGTGCCCGACTTATTGCTTTCTGTCCCCCCCAAGGCGCGGTTTTGGGGCAATCTAAGCCCGAGTGATCTCCACAGAAAAAAAGAAGCCTACTAACATATTCAACAGTAACAAACTTCTTTTGTTTTGGCAACAATATCTTCAAGGTATTTGAAATCCATGCAACTAAATCACTCACCGCATTTGTTTTATTTTTTTTTAACAAAAAACGTAATAAATATTTTGGTAAGGAATCTCTAATAATTATCCTATCATTGTTGACGTGATTTGTTACCAATTTCAAAAGTAACAAACTCCTTTTTGGTTAATGAATCACACATCTGCAGGATTTTTTATAACAAACTCATTTTTATTTAAGGAATCATAATCATAATCAATTTTTTTTTTAAAAAAAATCTTATCGGATATTGACTATGAAACCCACGTGAGTTGTGTATATTACATACAATTGACTATATAAACATCACCAAAATTGAACAAAAAACATTCGACATCCAATACATCTCACAATACTATTTTTTCACAAAGCTTTTACAACATCACTCAGATGTTCCAACGAGTTGAAGACGTGCACAATTACCGAAATGTTCTTGAAATTATCGTTCACGATTCTGAGGTAATATATTACACGTTCATAAAGCATTGAAATTTAAATTTAAATTTGTATAATTGTGTTTATTAAATTATTCAATTCAATTATTCAATATGTATTGTCGTAGGGGTTACGAATTACTGGCATAATTCGTCCTGTGAATATTCAAAAATTCCTTGGCGATATTGAAGAAGGTGGAAAGTATGTCTTGACCAACTATCAAGTTGAAAGCAATATTGTCCTCTACAAATCGACTATAGGAAAATGGAGGATCATCATCCATGGCATGACCAAGATTGTCAAATGGAAGGGGGGTTTTCCAATGCATCATTTTGAGTATAGAAACTTCCTAACCTTGATGGATGTTCGTAATATTGAAGAAGCCATGTTGTTTGGTACATTAACATTCTTTTCTTTATGTATAGATTTCATAATTTTATTTTTAAGTATATATAGATTCGGTAATATACAACACTATTTTATATGTTACATTTCGAATAAAATTCGTTTGTTTATGATGGTATATATATTATTGGATTGGTTGTTTCAATACAATCTATTCAAATCAAAGTTGTCAAGGGAGTTCCGACACAAATGATAGTATTCTCTATTATGGACTTGGAGTAAGCATATGTACCCTATATATTTATCTTTTTTATTAAAATCTTTTATATGTTTTTTTTTTAGTTAAGTTCGTGCTAAAAGATATTGTGTCGATTGGTTTTTATAAATATTTCCGATTTCTGATTTTTTATTAATTTTTAAAAAAAGTAAGCGATTATTGTTGAAAGTAAATTTCCGATTTCCGATTTAATTAAAAAAAATTAAGAGATCATGTCCGATTTAACAAAAAATTTCTAATTTTTGGTTTAAATAAAAAAAATCCTATTTCAATTTTATTGCGATTTCTGAATTAATTAAAAAAATTTAACAATCAGATTTAATTTTATAACAAAAAATTCCGCTTTCTGGTTTAATTTTTTCGATTTCCGAATTGATTAAAAAAATTTAGCAATCCGATTTCATGTTTATAAAAACAATTTCCTATTTCCGATTTCCAATGTAATAAAATCGATATTTTGTCTATATTTCTAGGGGCCATATAAAGGAATACACTGTTTGGGGGCAATATGTTGATCAGTTGGTTGCTTTGGAGCATCATTATGAAAATGATGGTCACCCTTTTGTCATCATCATGCAAATGTGCCGTGCAAGAGAGTGGAGGGCTTATCTTCGATTGTATTTCATTATTTTTCAATAAAAATGATATTCGTCCATTAGATTTATACTAATAATTGTCTATGTCTATTGGATTGGGTATTAAAATATTTTATGTAATAGGTGATGTTCAAATAACCACGTCAAATGATGTGACCTTGATCATTGGCGTGGACGTTCCCGAAATTCAAGAATTTCGAAGAAGGTATATGTTATTTGTTAGACTATAGATACAATTTTTTGACCATTGTATATAAAAACTATTTATTTTAATGTGATGTGATTTTTTTTTTTAATGTCTACCAAGATGGCGAAAAGTCAAATTAAGGATACCAAGTTGGTTTCAAGTATCTCAATCATTGTGAAGACCGAACTTCAAAGTCTTGATGACGGTGACGTCATTGTTA